CATTGTTGAGGAATCCAAATGAAGAGAAACTAGGGGAGACCACGGATCCTGAGGCGAACCTCGGTGGCTTCTCAGTCAATTCTATAGTTTGGCTTCAGTTTTGAGAAGAAATTATTCAAGTGTTTCATCCTGCCAATTTTATTTAATTAGGGCTTATGTTTGCGTGACACGGTCACACAAGTCGCCTAGAAGATATGAGGATTTATGTCGTATCGGACGACAACCTCGGAACCTAGAACGAGTTAGGACTTAAACTGCACAGTCTGGCTGTGCAAAGGCCTAACAGATAAAGTGAGGATTTATGTCGCGCTAAGCAGACTACCTTGAAATCCTATGGCTTGTTGTTTGATTCCTAGGAAAAGAATGGTTTAGCTAGGGAAGACATGTTCTGCTGTTGAAGATAGTCGTGCTGCCAACCACGCTAGCTCCAACCTCCTCAACGTGACGAGTTTAAGTTTTCTAGGGTGTCCAGTTATGATGTCAAATCAAACGACCCTATGGTAATAGTCCTAAATGTACTATATAAAAGAAGGCATGCTTAAAGTTATATAATATAAAATATGCAATACAGGACAAACATTAGGATGCATGTAGAACAGTAGCAGGTAGAAACAAGAATAGTATAACATGTTGTACAGAAAGAACAGTAGCAGGTAGAAACATGACAAGTATAACATGTTGTACAGAAAGAACAGTAGCAGATAGAAACAGAAAAATAAAATGCTGTAAAATGCAAAGAAAACTTGTACGCTCGTGAGATCCGTTGTTCCTTAAGTATAGCAAGTCTAAATACATCGCAAAAAGCGGAGTCTGGAAGAAACGTCGTCCAGGAAATCCAAAGAAGAGTGTAACAACGACTCATGACAGAAAACTCGAGAAAATCAACGAGAAAACACTCAAGTAAAAGAAAAGAAAAAGAATCCACAAAAATCTTCGAAAAATCCCGAAAGCACGAGGAAAAGTAACAAGAGTGTCCTGTCCCAAAGCTTCGATAAAACAAAAGAAAAGTAATTCGGAAGAGGGAGTGAGGGGGATCGCAAGCACTCGTATGGGGCTAGGCTCAGATATATATTTATACTCGAGGGTCCGCGAAGGCTACTCGGTCACCCGAATGTATAGAACCCGCCACTAAGTGTGTCTTGATCCTCACCTAGAGGGCTACTTCCCATCCTAAACAGGTATTTGTCAGGTGGACAACCAGCTTTAAAGTATGTTTTATGTTTTTAACATGCATATAAATTTTAAACATGCAAAGAAGAGTTATCAATTTTTGTTTCGTAGAAAAGTACGTTTTTGCTTGAAAAGGGTTTATCAAAACTTATTTTTTTTTTAGAAATTTTCGTTGTCCACGAGTCAATTACACTGTCGGGCGTGGGAATACCAACAATCTGAGGAGGTTCGAGCCAACTCGTGCTAGACTTATGTCGGTGAAGAATATTGTTATCCTATTATTCATCAAATACCTGGATCTTGATGTTATAGGATAGGGCATCTTTCTGCTCTATCTTCGGTGTGCCTTTATCATCACCACCGTACGCTCCAAAACGACTACTTGCGACCTTGTTTGATTGTTTCACGTATAGCAAAAGGCTATACGTGAACACTTATGCATCGGACATAAGCGTAAAAAAAAACGAACCAAGAAGCAAGGAAAGAAAAGAACAAAAATGGGGTGAGAGAGAGGAGGCATTGATCAATCTAAAACACCGAAAATAAGAATAGATCAGTTCTCAAAACTCCTATTGAAAAGACCTGGAAAAGTAGGGCCCAAGGTCTTTCCTAACAAACATAAAGGGCTACTTTGCGCTGATTTTTTTTTACACCCCAAAGACGTAGGATTAATAAAGTCAACCAAATGTTTTTCCAAAATGAGGCTTAGAAATCTCCCAAACTACACGAAAGGAAAATAACTTAGAGAATACCACCACTAGTATTCCCAAACTCATGTCGAAATCAAAATCTTCGAACTTTCAATTTAATCAATAGCCTTATATATCAAATAAGCATAAAATCTTCCCATATAACTAAATAAATGCTCACGACCAGGGTCAATACAAAGAGATGAACAACAGGTAAGGCTCTCGGCCAAGGCAACCAAAAGGGGAAGGGAGAGCTATTAAGGCTCACGGCTAAGGGCAGCAAGGGACAGCTGCTAAGGCCCACGACCAAAGGCAACCCAAGGAACAAGTACGGCTCACGGGACCAAAGGCAACCCAAGGAACAAGTAAGGCTCACGGCTAAGGGCAGCAAGGGACAGCTGCTAAGGCGGGCAACAAGGGACAACTGCTAAGGACCACGACCAAAGGCAACCTAAGGAACAAGTAAGGCTCACGGCTAAGAGCAGCAAGGGATAGCTGCTAAGGCCCACGACCAAAGGCAACCAAAAAGAACCATCGGTCGTCGGGTTGTTCCACATGCATAAGAGGATAACTAAAGTGATTATAATTTTTGGGATGACAAACTTGATTCAACAATCAAATTCAAGCCACTCAGACTCAACAAGAAGAGTCATACCGTCCCAGGCAACCTCTCAATAAGCTCACGGGTAGGACTAAAAACAAACCAAACCAAACTCCCAAGCCACCTCTTGAGTAAGAGCAGAACCAGACAAAAACTGAGCTCCAAAATCAAGCCAAAAATAAATCCCTAAAACTCACATACCCAAGACAGGAACTCCCTCCAAAACCCAGCCATTTTTTAGGCAAACCGAAAACCAACAGGGGCAAAAAGGATAAAGCCACACCCCAAATCAAATTGAAAATAAGCCTCATAATCAGGCAAGAATCAAGAGCTAGAACAGGTAAGGCTGAGCCCCAATGGAAGCCAGAAATCGAGTCACTCAAGGCTAAAACAGGGCCCAAGCATGAATAAAAACTCGAGCTTTAACAGAAATTAAAATTCCAGTCATTTTAAGGTAAAACCAAGCCAACCCAAGTTTTTCATCAAAACCCAGATTAGTTAAAGACCAAACCGAGCCAAGCAAGGCTAAAACCCGAACCCAGCAAGGGTCGAAAACCAAGCTGCAATTGAGACCTCCAGCACTAAGCCACAATAAAAGTTAGAGTAATATTCTTATGCTAAATAAAAAAAAATAGATGAAAAGCTTCATAATACATATCCCAACATGCTTGCAAGAGGAGCTAAAATTATCTCAAAGCCATGTTTCAACCTTCCTATTCACAGTAATAGGAATATGCTATGATTTCATCTCAAGCTAATAGAGAAAAGAAGAACACTTATGTCATACTATATTTCCCCCATTCTAAGCAAGTAATCCAATCTAATTCCTAAAACATGCTCACATTTTTATCCTTCACAGGCTCTTAAGGTGAATATCTCAAAATACATGAAAGTGCATTATACTAGAATGTTGTACTATCCAACAGAGCCATGCTCAGTGGCTCGACAGAGAGAAAACCGAAAGGAAGCAAGGCACCGAAAAAGGGGGAGAGAAGGATCTTTCTAATGCAAATGTAAAGCACTGCACTGCAAAAATAGCTTCAAGGAGATGCTCAGGAGATGCTCCCACATAAATCTCCCTCCTAAAATCTTCCAATAGCAAAGATCTCCACTTCCCCTCTTCTTAGGAAATTTTTCAACAATCACAAAACCCAAAAGAAGCTCTATTTTATAGGCAGAGAAGAGAAGGAAAAAAAATGAAACCATCCAACCTCCCCCGGTACTCGAATCGGGTCAAAGAAGAAAAGAACGCTTCCCTCTGCCTACCGCAGGCGAGGCAACCGAAGTGCCCAGGACCAAGTGGCGAGCCGAGTGGCAGGGAGAGAAGCATCAAAAAGAAAAGAAGGTTGCCACTCAAGTGTTCCAGGGAACAAGTTCATCAGAGTCAACCTACCAAGAAAGGAAAATCGCAGCTCATAGAGGCAAACGCAGCTTCGGGAAGAAGAGTCTCGAGCAGAAAGTGTCGGGCAAGGACGAATGAGAGGTCAACTCTCTCTCGCGTGGAGAAGAAGGGCTCGATCGGCTCGAGACCGAGAAAGGGAAG